TTTTTTTTTTGGACATCTGAACCATTTGGTATTTAAGGGAAAAGTGGGTTTTAGAAAAACGTAAAATTAAAGTAAGAATGAAACACATTTCATCATGAATTCATTGCATCAGTTTAAAGGTAAAATTATTTCCAATGTCTTATTCAGTGTCAGATTTTGGGGGCATAAAATTTGGTTTAATTAATTGCTGTAGTGTAGCAAACTTACTTCAAACACATATGAAACATAATTCAAACAACTATTATTTACATTTAAATGTTTAATTAGTAGTTGTACAGAACATATCTGACATTGTCATGATAAAAATACCACACTCAGCAACATCCCATTTTAAATCTGTCAAACAAAAAAAAGAGAGAACCCCCATGATATCAGATAAGACTTATTCTCCATTGTCAGTCAGAAAGGCTTTTCATCATATGTCTCTCTGAACAAGCAGGTGGCCTAGTCCTGAATTGCTCCCAAAGCCTCTAACATAAACTGAGGAAAAAAACAACGCATAGGATTAACCATCCGGGGGAAATATGCATTCTATTATTCATGCGGTCTTTTCATTTTTAGGGACCTCAAAATCCACACTCCAAAATTAGATGTGTAAAATAAAACATTTTCCTCCAAGGACTGAACATTGAAAGCTTTGACTTTGAACTTTGAAAATCTAAACCTCTTTGCGTAATGCCACCCGTACACTGCTGAAAATTTTCCCTAGAGCTTCAAACAAGGGGTCACAGAAGGTATGAATGCAGAGAGAGTAGATTCGACTCAGGCAATGGGTTTCGATCAGATAGCTCTTAATGCAGGGCATGACTGCCCAAATGTGACAGAAGGAGATGCAGGCAAAACAGAAGCCCCACAGCAATGCCACTGGGATGCCAAAGATGGCCGACAGCACACGGTAGCACCAGTACTTGGAGACGGTGAAGGTGGTGTAGCTGGCTTTCCACACTCCATCCATACTGTGGGTGCCGTCGGGCTCGGCTATCACATCCTCAAAATCCACCTTGAATTTTTTTTAAGGGGGGAGACAACATTTGCTGGTTAGTACAAATATCCGAACCAGAGATTTGTTGCCAAAACCTGATTAGTATATTGTGCAAACAAATGTCATTGTCAGTAATTTGGCAGGCATTTGGCATGGGTTCTCTTCTGCTTGTGCTCCTAATGGATGATGATTAATTCTCCAAACAGTGACATTTGATATCAAAATCCCCCATCAGTAGAAGGCAGTCTGGCACCTTGTTTATTTTAGCTTCAATCTCATAACAACTGCAGAGTATTTAAGAGGAAGTATTTCAGACCGTTATTTCAAATCTTTACGTAACATCTATTTAAGGGCTGACACGGAATAATCTGATCTTTGGTAAATATGCAAAAATGTAGTTATGACAAGTATAACATAGCGCTGACAACATTTGGAATTAAACCCAGTTTCTTGAATAAAACAGATTATTGGAAATCTAAAACTCAAAATACATACATACTTTTATTCAGCAAGAATTACATTAAAGCAAAAGTGACAGGAAATACTTTTTCCATTGTTACAAAAAAATTCTAAACTATAAAGTATCATGGTTTTCAAAAATATATAAATAAAATATAGAGCAGCAAAACTTTCAATAATAATAATAAAAAATAATAATACATATTTTTGAGCCCCAAATCAGCATATTAGAATGATTTATGTTGCTATAACCACAACAGTGATCTTACACTCAGTCAAAAGAGAAAGAATACCAGACTGTAATTTATGATTTGTACATAGCTCAATAGTCAAAATT